TCAGGATGAGTTTAGCTTGTTCTCGCTGTATCGCCGACACGGAAGCCTGTCTGCTCCTCGCAGCAGCGAGCAGCAGCTGCGAGGAGCAACGAGCCTCAACGACCCTCAATGTCGCGACCAATCAGAGCACACTGCAGCGACGTGCAGTCAGTGGAGGCAGGGGAGGCAGAGCCTCACCTGTCATACTCCAATGTAACGGAAAAACAATTAAAGAAAAACTAAATAATAATAATAATAAAATGTCTCCACTGATCTTGTGTAAATGTGATTTCTGTATGATTCCAATCGCATTTTATAGTCAAAATCAGCAAATTCGCCGAGCTCCGCTACGGGAGCGATGAGAAGTGAGGCAGGCACGAGCACTGCCTCACGTAAGCCCACAGTAAGTTGCTGGAGCGCGGGCACTAATTTAGCGCGGCCACTTATTTTGTGAGCGCGCTCAAGCCATTTACTGTGGGGTGACGCATTCTGAGGTGAGGCACAGATGAGCCCTGCCTCAATTCAGAATGCGTCACCCCACAGAAACTGGCTGGAAAGCGGGCCCTAAGCGCATGCCTGTTCCCATCTCACTGTAGGTCACCAATGTAATGTTTGTAGATCCCTTTATTACATTTATCCTCGCCATCCATAGTCTCTAAATAACTTATTTCACGTATATATGATATTTAGGCTCGTTGGTCTCATCGTACAACGGCAATGAAAAAATCACCAGGGGAGGCAGCCATAACCTCTGCCGCACTGAAGGGGGCGCATGTGAGCCCACAGGTTCTTGTTGCTACTGTTATTCTACCGCAAACAACAAACTAGACTTTTGAAACTACAGGAAGATAAGGAGGACTTTTACAAAACAGTAATAGAGATTGTTGTCCAGAAGGATAGCATGGACTTATATTCATCTTCAAGTCAAGATGGGCTGTCTTCTGAGTGGTTAAACACTACTAATGGTGTTCCTCAAGGTTCTGTTTTAGGTCCACTTTTATTCTCCATCTACATCAATAGTTTAGGTGAAAATGTCGATGGAGCAACCTTACATTTTTATGCGGACGATACCGTTATGTACTGTGCATGTCCCTCCATTAAGGAGGCTGTTGTTGAATTGCAAACTGCTTTTAACATTATTCAGACTCAGCTCTCTGAACTAAAGCTTCTTTTAAATGTTGATAAAACCAAGGTAATGCTCTTTTCAAAAGCCAAAAAGACACCAGAGCCTGTTTTAGATATTTTAACTACGCAAGGAATAAAACTTGAAGTTGTTGCCTGTTACAAATACCTTGGTATCTGGCTTGATGATTGTCTCACTTTTAAACGTTATGTCAATAACCTGCTTAAAAAACTGAGGGTTAGACTAGGTTTCTTCTACAGGAACAAGTCCTGTTTCTCGCTCGAGGCCAGAAAAAGTCTAGTCACTGTGACCTTTTTACCTGTGCTGGACTATGGTGATTTGATTTATATGAATGCACCTGCCAATTGCCTGGTCAAGTTAGATGCTGCGTATCACAGTGCACTGAGATTTGTGACAAACTGTAAAGCATTAACTCATCACTGTACCCTGTATGCAAGGGCTGGTCTGCCTTCACTAACTGTACGGAGGCTCAGTCACTGGTACATTTTTATATATAAAGCCATGTTAGGGAAACTTCCATCCTACATCTGCTCCCTGATCTCACGGCGAATTGTAAGTGGCTACTGCCTGAGATCGCATGCTGTGGTTTTACTAAATGTGCCAACTGCTAGGACTGTCTTAGGGAAAATAGCATTTAGATGCGCAGCTCCACTGTCTGGAATAGTCTGCAATTAAAATGGAAACTGAGCAATCTGGTGCCACTAAATGTTTTTAAAGCTCGGTTGGATGCTACTGAATCGGAAGCTGTTGGTACCTGTGCATGTGGATAGTATGTAATTTGTAATCCCTGTAATGCTACTGTATGATGTCCTTTTGTTGTTCTGTATATGTTTTTAATGTTTCATGTGGAACCTACTTGAGCAGGTCTCCCTTGAAAAAGAGGTCAATGATCTCAATGGGATACAACCTGAATAAGTAAAGGTTTGAAATGAAATGAAATAAAGGTAAGACCACAACTGTAATGAAAATGGGATCTTACTTAGAAAGAACAATCCAATATTTAGATTTTGGGTATCCTTTTGTTGATCGGTCTGTTTAAAATTAATCATAGCATCAGACTAAAAAAGCTTTTGAAAATAACAGAATATTTCGATTAAGGTCAAAATAGGCTATAATATTTGTAAATCTGACTCTGAAAGAGTCAGTGCCTCACCAGCCATGAACCTCACCGCACGTCACTGGCACACTAGGCTCACAGGGAGGGGGGGCAGGAGCTCCAACAAGCCGTTTAGGACAGAGAGTGAATACCGGTGAATACACATACTTTACAGAGATGCTGTATGAGAAACCAATGTGAGTTTGGAAAACTGCACAGTATAAATCTATTTTAGTATACCTCAACAATGGAATTATGATCAGTAGAAATGGCCATGACATGGGATCTTTAAGGATTTTTTTCATTCACCAAGAGATACTTTTTATAATATAGCAGATACATTTTCTATGTAGTATTGATGTCAGGCTGTATGTCGTGGTGCCTCTACTCAGCTTCTCTGTGGTCCATTTTCAGGGCTGAATGCAACATTTGTCCTCATTGACAGCAAAATGAACTGGACTGAGGCCCAGAGCTATTGCAGAGAACACCACACAGACCTGGCCAGAGTGACACACGAGACAGAGAACCAGCAGGTACAGGAAATGGCAGCTACAGCTGCAAGTGATGCCTGGATCGGCCTTTACAGAGACTCCTGGAGGTGAACCTAACAACAGAAACTATAATGATGCTTGTGTGGTTGCAGATTTCCACGACTCTGGAAAATGGGAGGACGCGGACTGTGGGTTGAGGAAACATTTCATTTGCTACAGTGAGTAAAATTCACTGCTACGTCAAAGCAAGTGATGATATTGACTCTGCTGAAAAATAAGCTCCAACGCATTCTGGGTTTTGTCAACTTCTACCGAAGGTTAATCCGAAACTACATTTTGGTGGCAGCCCCCCTCACAGCCCTCACCTCTCAGAACGTTCCCTTCCGGTGGTCCTCTGTGGCTGAAGGGTCTTTTGGTGAGTTAAAATCACACTTCACCTCTGCTCCTATTCTGAGATTTCCAGATCCTACTCGCCAGTTTATTTCGGAGGTAGATGCCTCGGACAATGGAGTTGGTGCAGTTATTTCTCAACGGTCAGCCGAGGATCAGAAAATTCACCCGTGTGCCTTCTTCTCTCAAAAGCTGTCACCAGCAGAAAGAAAATATGACATAGGGAATCGAGAACTGTTGGTGGTGAAACTTGCACTGGAGGAATGGAGACACTGGTTGGAGGGAGCAGAGCAGCCTTTTTTGGTCTGGACAGACCACAAACATTTGGAGTACATCCGTTCAGCAATGCGGCTGAACTCTCTCCAAGCAAGGTGGGCCCTCTTTTTCACTCTCTTTGATTTCTCCCTTTCATACAGACCGGGTTCTAAGAACATCAAACCTGCCTCTCACCAGTTCCAGCCAGATAGCTCTCCATCGCATCCCGGGAATATCCTCGCTCCTACATGCGTCACTGGTGTGGTAACCTGGGAAGTGGAGGATAAGGTCAAGCGCTCCCATGCTGAACACCCAGCCCCAAGTGCTTTTCCTGATAACCGTCTGTTTGTCCCTGCCACCCTCCGTACGCAGGTTCTCCAGGGGGGTCACAGCTCTCGCCTGGCTTGTCATCCAGGAAAAAATGTGTTTCTTTATTTGCATCCTAATTATTGTTTTTTTGTCTCAAAATATCTTCAAATGAGTTATGTTGAATGTTGAATGTTGAGCGAGAATGAATGCCATTACTAAAGCAAGAACACCAAACAACACAATTCAACAAGCCTCCTTTCACTGCTGCACCGCACATCATCTCTAGCAGAAGCAACAATATTTACTTCATACAATGACAAGAAAATATCAACCATGTTAAATAAAAGTAATTATAGCCATTACTCACCAATACGTTTGATTATTTGTTCCCAAAAACCATCCTCCTTTCTTTCTGAAGAGTTCAGTTACTGTGTTGTTCAGATTACCTGAGTGTTTCAGTTCCAATAATAAGTCCTGTTCTAACGCCATGGAGGCTGATGCTGGAAGTCGAGTCAGTTCAGTCGTATTTCTGTCAAAACACATTGTGGAATATAGGAATGAACAGAGTCCTGCTTCTGACACTGCTCAGTTCTCTTTATACATGAACCTTCCTGAGAACAGTTCCACCTCAGCCACATCCATCATGGTGCACTTTGTAATGGAGGGTATGTCCTCTTGTTGGGGGACATTTAGAAGATCTTTGGTTAGAGATGTTTGGCCGTAATATATGCAAGATCCTGGATCACAAGACGCTTTTTTTTGAAAATATAGGTAATGCCTTTTAGACTATAAAGTGATTTTTGAAAAGTGAGGTTTTGAAATATAAAGCTTTTTTAATTGTAAAGCAGCTCTAAACATTCTGAATGTGTCTCAGTTCATTTTGGTTTGCAGTAAACGCCATCAGAGGGTGAACATGGACTTAAGCCTTTGCCTTGACAATAAAACCCTTTTGAGCAGCTAAAACAAAGCGTTTGAAACAGGTATCCAGACACAAAGAAAAAGAAAGTTTGTTTAACATTAAAGCATGTACAAATGTTTTACTAGAATACCCAAAGTATGAAGCTGGAAGTTTGTGCAATGATTATTACACCGATTTTGTGATCTTTTAAATGTATTAGCTTGTAAACTGTAAAAGTGTCTCATTATATGAAATGATCAGTGTTGTTTCAGACTTTTTGTATTTTTTTAATTTATGGGCATGAATTTGGTTTTCCTGCTGCGTATCACCAGTCCTACGCCCATATTACTCTATTGGTCTTTCCTTGTAAAGGCATGTGCAAATGTATCTAAATAAGCCTGATGTAAAAAAGTTATCAGTTCCATATCCACTTTGCATTTTACCTAATATTGAATGTCAACAGCTGCACCTCTACAGTCTCATTCCAAAAGAGAGGAACAGGGAAGAGACAAGGATGGAAAAGGTTCTTCTGATCATCATCGCTCTTTCAGGTATTTATTATTGTTATTTAAAATATGTTATCCCATTAGCAATGCTTAGTACTTTCTATTTTGGTTTCCCACTGACAATTACTTAAGTTGTTTAATTTACAGTTTAACTTTAATGTAATTTGGAGAACTTGGTTCAGTAATTGATATTGAATCTAATCAAAATGTCTGTGTCTCTACAGGGCTGAGCGCTGTCTCCTCACATGCTGAACGTCAGTACCATTTTGTTTCTGAAGCAAAGACCATGTCTGAAGCACAGAGATACTGCAGAGAGAAACACACAGACCTGGCCACTGTAGACAGCATGGAGGTTGTGGAGCTCCTGAACAACATGGCAGGCCAATACAACCAAGTGAGGTCACTTTTCTCTGTCTTTTGATTCAAATGAATTACATTTCTTTTAGAGTCAAATTTAAAAAGGAGAGATTATTACAGAAAGCTAAACCTGTTTTAAAGTCCTATGGGAACCTGCGTATTAAAACAGAGTTGAAAATGTTTTAAGCCAAAGCTATAGCATAAAACCCTGTAATAAAGTTGTAGAGGTTCAGAGTAACAAGGCTGTAAATGAATGTTGACTTGAGGGGATTCCCATCAGATCACCATGTACCAAGGCTGGTCTCATAAAGGCAAACAAAACCTTCTCTTTATTAAACATACACATTTTCTTCAGCAGCAGCTTTAAAAGCTTCAACAGGATGTAATAATTATGACAATTTCTTGCTTTCAGTCAGCCTGGATAGGGCTGCACGATGACCGGGACACCTGGAGGTGGTCGATGTCAGACCCCAGCTTCTACGGACCGGGGGAGACGGAGTTCAGAGGATGGGCGTCTGGAGAACCAGGCACCTTTCACGATGAACAATGCACAACTTTTTATTCTGGTGGAGCATGGCATGATTATCCTTGTAATACCCACTTCTGGGTGGTCTGCTTTGATGTCACAGGTAAGAATATAAACTTAAAATTAATATTACACATTTAAAATCATATTCTTCTTCTGAAATACAATGCATTGGTCTTTATCTAACTAGAGGTTCACAACCTTTTTCTTAGTGACTTTTTTTTCTTTTGTTAGCAGTTCCACTAAAGACATTTCCCTTTTCACTAAAATTCTCACATGGTTTCATTTAAAAGATAACGTAAAAGGAAATGATGTATATACCATTTTTTGCAAACTTGTTTTAGAATTGTAGGTACGTTTTACATCTTATACATCTGTGCTAAACAGAATAAGAACAATATAGAATCAATATAATTTGAATGAAGCTTTAACCTGTAACAGAGTATCTTCACATCGTTGTACTCCTGCTTTTACTAAAAGATCTGAATATTCCATCACTGATACTAGTAAAGTTTCTTGCCAACATTCATGTGTTGAAAAACCCCAGAACTACAAATTACAAAGTACACATTTGTGGGATTTAAATGTAATATTTTATATTATAAAGGCATACATACCACCAGAGATGTGGCATTGATGTCAGGCTGTATGTCGTGGTGCCTCTACTCAGCTTCTCTGGGGTCCATTTTCAGGGCCGGATGCAACATTTGTCCTCATCAACAGCGCAATGACATGGACTGAGGCCCAGAGCTCCTGCAGAGAACACCACACAGACCTGGCCAGTGTGAGAAACCAGGCGGAGAGCCAGCTGATTGTTGGGCTGGTATCTGGAGCTGGATATAATGCCTGGATCGGCCTTTACAGAGACTCCTGGAAGTGGTCCGATGGAAGTAACTCCTCCTTCAAGTACTGGGCAGATAATAAACCTAACTACAGAGCTTCAAAGGTTTGTGTGGCTGCAGCTTTCGACAACTCTGGAAAATGGGAGGACTTGGACTGTGGAGTGAAGAAACCATTCATTTGCTTCGGACGTGAGTACAATTCACAGCTACGTCAAAGCAAGTGATGATATTGAGTCTGCTGAAAAATAAGACACCATAAATGTTGTGACTGATGAAGTTTGTTTGTGTTTCTAGCTGTGCCTGTTGTGCCTGTTACGACTCCTGAGACTAGTGTGTCTGTTGTGCCTGTTACGACTCCTGAGACTAGTGTGCCTGTTGTGCCTGTTACGACTCCTGAGACTAGTGTGCCTGTTGTGCCTGTTACGACTCCTGAGACTAGTGTGTCTGTTGTGCCTGTTGTGCCTGTTACGACTCCTGAGACTAGTGTGCCTGTTGTGCCTGTTACGACTCCTGAGACTAGTGTGTCTGTTGTGCCTGTTACGACTCCTGAGACTAGTGTGTCTGTTGTGCCTGTTACGACTCCTGAGACTAGTGTGCCTGTTGTGCCTGTTATGACTCCTGAGACTAGTGTGTCTGTTGTGCCTGTTACGACTCCTGAGACTAGTGTGTCTGTTGTACCTGTTACGACTCCTGAGACTAGTGTGTCTGTTGTGCCTGTTACGACTCCTGAGACTAGTGTGCCTGTTGTGCCTGTTACGACTCCTGAGACTAGTGTGTCTGTTGTGCCTGTTACGACACCTGAGACTAGTGTGTCTGTTGTGCCTGTTACGACTCCTGAGACTAGTGTGCCTGTTGTGCCTGTTACGACTCCTGAGACTAGTGTGCCTGTTGTGCCTGTTACGACACCTGAGACTAGTGTGCCTGTTGTGCCTGTTACGACTCCTGAGACTAGTGTGCCTGTTGTGCCTGTTACGACTCCTGAGACTAGTGTGCCTGTTGTGCCTGTTACGACTCCTGAGACTAGTGTGCCTGTTGTGCCTGTTACGACTCCTGAGACTAGTGTGCCTGCTGTGCCTGTTACGACTCCTGAGACTAGTGTGCCTGTTGTGCCTGTTACGACTCCTGAGACTAGTGTGTCTGTTGTGCCTGTTACGACTCCTGAGACTAGTGTGTCTGTTGTGCCTGTTACGACACCTGAGACTAGTGTGCCTGTTGTGCCTGTTACGACTCCTGAGACTAGTGTGTCTGTTGTGCCTGTTACGACTCCTGAGACTAGTGTGTCTGTTGTGCCTGTTACGACACCTGAGACTAGTGTGTCTGTTGTGCCTGTTACGACTCCTGAGACTAGTGTGCCTGTTGTGCCTGTTACGACTCCTGAGACTAGTGTGCCTGTTGTGCCTGCTGTGCCTGTTGTGCCTGTTTCAATGAAAGTGATAAAGGTGAGCGTGGAGAACCCAAACGATGTGGATCTGAACGACCCCGCTTTTCTGGATGAGATGTTGGTGGAGGTAAATCATGTTTTCTACTTTTATGCAAAAACATCAATCTCCAGAAAGGACATTCACATGACATGAGAACAAGAGAAGAAATAGGTAGGAAACAAATAAATAACTATTAAAGAATAATTAATTTAACAAAAGAAAATGTAGTAAATGAATTTCAATACGAATGAAATGGACCAAGATGAACATGAATGAAATTCTATATCCATTATACATTCAATACTTTGGCCACAAATAACAGGACCCAAGCATTTAGTAAGAAGACGTGTAAATATGTGCAGATGTAAATAGCAGAAACTTAGCCACATGCCACCAAATGCATTAGGAAAATGTACAAATACTATTCCATAACCTGAGGTAAGCCTTTACACTGGAAGAAATAAGGGGAACAACTACCATTTCAGATGAGTGAACTAAAGATAAATCATCTGTTTTTCATTGGAACGATAATGAAAATGAGTTTTTGTGTCTCAGGTGAAAAAGAACCTAAGGGCCCAGGGATTGGACGACAACGTCCAACTGGCCTGGAGGAAGCAGCCGGATGGACAAGTCTTCCACGAGGAGGAGGAGAAGAAGAGGGATGAACTCTAAAGCTGAATTGCTGTGTCGGCTTTTATCAGAGAAAAGTGTATTTCTTTCCTCAAAGTCCTCGTGTTACAGAATTCAGCTGCAACAATGATCTGAATAATCAATTAGTTACGATCATTTTGATAGAAGATAGAGAATGTAATGCTTTTCCTTGTTATATATGGTTATGAATTTAATATATTTAGGGTTTTTACTAATTAATGTATTTGCTGGGCCGGTGGGAGATAATAATAAAATGTTTGGCTTTTGTTGAATTCTGATCAAGATTAAATTAGCAATAAAAAAAATGACCTTTAATGAAATTTGTTGATGGGCATGAATTCGGTTTTCCTGCTGTTTATCACCAGTCCTACGCCCATATTACTCTATTGGTCTTTCCTTGTAAATGCATGTTGTAACAACCGGAAAGGTAAACACCGGTAGTCACTCATGGTAACGCCCACCCAGCCAGTGATTCGCTGTTAGTTGGCACCTCCATTCAAATGTAAGTAAATAAGCCTGATATAAAAAAGCTGTCCGTTCCATATCCACTTTGCATTAAGTCGAAAGTGCAGCTAACTAACGCATAATGTTAGTTAATGTTTAACCTAATGTATAATGTAAACAGCTGCACATCTACAGTCTCAGTCCAAAAGAGAAAAACAGGGAAGAGACAAGGATGGAAAAAGTTCTTCTGATCATCATCGCTCTTTCAGGCAAGAGTTTTATATATTTTTATTTAAAATACTGCATGTTGTTCCATTACCAATGTTTAGTACTTTCTATTTTGGTTTCCCTCTGACAATTATTTAAGTTGTTTAATTTACAGTTTAATTTTAATGTAATTTGGAGAAGATGGTTCAGTAATTGATATTGAATCTAATCAAAGTGTCTGTGTCTCTACAGGGCTGAGCGCTGTCTCCTCACATGCTGAACGTCAGTACCATTTTGTTTCTGAAGCAAAGACCATGTCTGAAGCACAGAGATACTGCAGAGAGAAACACACAGACCTGGCCACTGTAGACAGCATGGAGGTTGTGGAGCTCCTGAACAACACGGCAGGCCAATTCAAACAAGTGAGGTCACTTTTCTCTGTCTTTCGATTCAAATGAATTACATTTCTTTTAGAGTCAAATTTAAAAAGGAGAGATTATTACAGAAAGCTAAACCTGTTTTAAAGTCCTATGGGAACCTGAGTATTAAAACAGAGTTGAAAATGTTTTAAGCCAAAGCTATAGCATAAAACCCTGTAATAAAGTTTTAGAGGTTCAGAGTAACAAGGCTGTAAATGAATGTTGACTTGAGGGGATTCCCATTAGATCACCATGTACCAAGGCTGGTCTCATAAAGGCACAACAAACCTTCTCTTTATTAAACATACACATTTTCTTAAGCAGCAGCTTTAAAAGCTTCAACAGGATGTAATAATTATAACAATTTCTTGCTTTCAGTCAGCCTGGATAGGGCTGCACGATGACCGGGACACCTGGAGGTGGTCGATGTCAGACCCAGGCTTCTACGGACCGGGGGAAAAGGAGTTCAGACCATGGGATAATGGACAACCAAACAACGTGCACGATTACCAATGCACACTTTTTCATTATGGTGGAGCATGGCATGATTTTGATTGTAATCGCCCCCTCTGGTCGGTCTGCTTTAATGTCACAGGGAAGAATATAAACTTAAAATGAATATAACACATTTAAAATCATATTTGAAGCTTCTGAAATACAATGCATTGGTCTTTATATAACTAGCGGTTCCCAACCTTTTTTCTTTGTGACTTTTTTTCCTTTTGTTAGCAGTTCCACTAAAGACATTTCCCTTTTCCCTAACATTCTCAACGTAAAAGGAAATTATGTATATACCATTTTTTGAAAACTTGTTTCAGAATTGTAGGTACGTTTTACATCTTATACATCTGTGCTAAACAGAATAAGAACAATATAGAATCAATATCATTTGAATGAAGTTTTAACCTGTAACAGAGTATATTCACATCGTTGTACTCCTGCTTTTACTAAAAGATCTGAATATTCCACCACTGATACTACTAACGTTTCTTGCCAACATTCATCTGTTGAAAAACCCAAGAACTACAAATTACAAAGTACACATTTGTGGGATTTAAATGTAATATTTTATATTATAAAGGCATCAATACCACCAGAGATGTGGCATTGATGTCAGGCTGTATGTTGTGGTGCCTCTACTCAGCTTCTCTGGGGTCCATTTTCAGGGCCGAATGCAACATTTGTCCTTATTGACAGAGGACTGACATGGACTGAGGCCCAGAGCTACTGCAGAGAACACCACACAGACCTGGCCAGTGTGAGAAACCCGGCGGAGGAGCAGCAGATTGATGAGCTGTTACCTGGAGGGGGTTGGATTTGGATCGGCCTTTACAGAGACTCCTGGAAGTGGTCCGATGGAAGCAACTCCTCCTTCAAGTACTGGAAAGTAAATGAACCTAACTACGTAGGTCTCAAAGCTTGTGTGGCTGCAGCTTTCGACGACTCTGGAAAATGGGAGGATTTGGACTGTGGAGTGGAGAAACCATTCATTTGCTACGGACGTGAGTAAAATGCACAGCTACGTCAAAGCAAGTGATGATATTGAGTCTGCTGATAGAGAATCTAATGCTTTTCCTTGTTATATATGGTTATGAATTTAATATGTTTAGGGTTTTTACTATTGAATGTATTTGCTTGGCCGGTGGGAGATAATAATAAAATGTTTGGCTTTTGTTGAATTTTGATCAAGATTAAATTATCAATAAAAAAAATGACCTTTAATGAAATTTCATACAAAAATCTGTTTCTTTATTTGCATCCTAATTATAGTTTTTTTGTCTCACAATATCTTCAAATGAGTTATGTTGAAAACAGAAACAGGCCGTGCATTTCACACCTAGGCCTTCAGTAGTGTCTACCTGAATGAACCCACCTCCTAATAGCATTATTATGACGTCACGGCTATAGAAACCATTAATATGATACATTAACGCAGTATAACAGGGCGCTGCATCACAGACAGGTTTCTAATGTAGCGAGAATGAATGCCATTACTAAAGCAAGAACACCAAACAACACAATTCAACAAGCCTCCTTTCACTGCTGCGCCGCACATCATCTCTAGCAGAAGCAACAATATTTACTTAATAAAATGACAAGAAAATATGAACAATGTTAAATAAAAGTCATTATAGCCATTACTCACCAATACGTTTGATTATTTGTTCCCAAAAACCATCCTCCTTTCTTTCTGAAGAGTTCAGTTACTGTGTTGTTCAGATTACCTGAGTGTTTCAGTTCCAATAATAAGTCCTGTTCTAACGCCATGGAGGCTGATGCTGGAAGTTGTTAGAAGTATTCGTTGTCCAGGAGAGAAGCTTAGAATGAAGAGACTAATGGAGTCTCTGAAAAGGTTCAAATTGGTTGAGTTTAATTAAATGGCACAATGATACAACAAGCAGAGGGTAAGAGGAGAGACAGAGCAGCTGTTACCTCGCCGGGGTGAAGGGGTGAAGTCTCGTGGTGAAGAAGAAAAAGAAGTGTTTAGAGCTCCGTCACCTCTCTCTATATCTCAGTGGTGACTCCTCCTCATCAATGGTGGGCGGTCACGTAGGGAGGGAACTTCCCTCCTCTTTCTCATTGTCTTAGTTTCTCTGATTAGGTCATCTCTCTGATACCCCTTTCACACCAACGCAACTCCGGTTCAAGCTCCGTGCTAGAGCTTTTCAGGTTCAGAACCGGTGCTTCGGTTTAGCTCCGGCTCTTTTCACACCGCTCAGAGCCCGACTGGTGCTGCCGCTGCTGCGTCATGACGTCACAGTTTACGTCGCTGATTTTCTCCCCAACGGAGCTCACCTCACAACAACAACGGGCCGGGGACTGCGTTGCTTTTAATCATACGAAGCCAGATTAAATTAAATAACGACTTCTCCAACCTTATACTTTTCTCCAGAGTGCCGTGGTTCATTGTTTATTAATGTGTTTCAGCGGCATTTACCGACCGCTGCAGTGCTGCTGCTCTTCCACGAGTGTATTCTCCCGTTAGCTCCGGGTTAGCTCACACGACTCTAAAGTATTCACTGTCTGACTGTCACACAAGCAGCTGATACATATCCCCAGTTCCCTTTAAGTGAATGTGTGTCAGTCTGAATTGACGCTGTTTGGCATCACAACGCTGTTATGAAAGTTTCTCGGGTATAACATGGGTGATGTTAGCATAGCAACCGAAGCTACACTGACTACTTGCTAAGCCGTTTTCTCCAGGCACTTTTTACCGACGTATTTTTCATTATGATTCTACTTGTGATAGTCGGACATGACAACCTGTGCAGCCCATGTATTGATTCCATCCGATAGCTGCTATAATAACAAACAAAACGTCTGCCTGCTCTCCACAATGATCAATAACAGCGAACGGATGGTCAAAGTAAGGTACAAATAAACAGAATCACACGAAGCCTGGTGAGTGTTGCCTGACTTTATAAAGTGTGTTTTTTTTTAACAAGTGTGTGGTTGCGTTCTAGTCACTTTGCTCAGCACTACTGCTTGTTACAACTTTTATTTGCCGTACTCGCCTTAACTGTTAGCTCAGGTTAATCTCGCCCCCCTCCGACGTAAGCGTGACGTATGCGGTTCTTGCTTCTACACGGACAACTTTTTGGTGCTCGAAACGAACCGGATTCCGGAGCTTAGAGGCTGCTCCGCTGCGGTGTGAACAGGAAAACCCTGTGCTTTTCAAGCACCAGCACCGAACCGGCCCCGAAACACCGTTGGTGTGAATGGGGTATGAGAGTGAATCTTAAATGTATGTGTGATCAACAGACGCGTTTAGTGGGTGAGGTTTTGCATACTGTGTCTGTGTATATCTCACTGTCTTGTAGGGTGAGATGGTTTTGCATACAGTGCCAGAGGGGGTACGAACATTGTGTTGCTGTACGTTTGCCACCTAACTGATTATTCTCTCTAGACCCCAGCTGATTTTAAAGCTGCTACGACAAAGCTTACTGTGCGTTTAAACTAAATTACGTCATTGAATATTGATTTTAATTTCTAACAATCCCTCCTTTCACACCTTTTAAGGTGTGAACACAATACTGAAATCCATGAGTTCTTCATAAGACATCTTTTAAACTGATGGTATGTTTTAGACTAAATTATGCTATAAAACATTGATTTTAATTTCTAACAATCCCTCCTTTCACACCTTTTAAGGTGTGAACACAATACTGAAATCAATGAGTTCTTCATCTGAACTTGGCATAGTACATAACTCATATCAATAACATACAATCAAAATGGAATGGTTCAAATAACAGTCATCACAAATACAAAAAATACAAAGAATACTTTGGTTGGTCTTCCACATGAAAGTATTTTTTTTTTCTTTTTTCTTTGTGCATAACTTCTAGTGTTAACATTCAATATCACTTTTCAAAATAGCAGCAATTAGCTTGGTATCAGAACATTTCTTACTCCCTCCTTTCACAGAAATCCTTCTCATACTACATAGCACCCCATGCTATCCCTGTGGAGCCTAAACTCCCTCCTTTGACTGGTCTCTTAGCCCTACTGGTTTTGGGGTGTTTCGCCATGTTGATTAACTGCCCCGCTGTCATTGGTACTGCATATAAAACATCACTGGCTGTACAAGTGCACAGGTCCCAGTCCAATCCTGTAGCAAGACTGGGTACAAGGTTTTAGTTCCATGATACCATCAAACATCTACTCTGGGATACGGCATTTTAGACAGTCATTTCTGGGAGAAGATTTTGGTCAGTTACAACAGTTGGAGAATTTCATCACTTAAAAAGTTCCTACTTCAGTACCTTTGGGTGGTCTGTTCTAATGCAGTGATAAAGTTCCTTAAATGGTGTGAAAACCGGTGGAATATCAATAACTCATTATACTAATTTATCTTCAATTCTGGTCTGCTTAAAGAACTATGCTAACCCCTTTAACAGTGTGTGGAACCCGGGGTGTCCGAACATGCAACAATTACTCCCTCCTTTATCAAGGATTGTATTTCATCAATGGTTTGTAGTTCAATTTAGGAATTTTCACTTATGGCGGATATGTTTCTACGTTAAATAACATCTCTAAATTTCAGGTCATCACTGATTAAATGGATGACCATTAGGAGGTGGTGACGCTTGTCTTTTAAACTCATAATTTGGTGCCGTGCGCTCCCTGTGAAGCTGCAAGTAAGATTTAAAACAACTGCTGGGTGGGTTGAGTGACCCCTTCTCCCTAAACGATATGGGTTGTCAATAATATGCACCATTGCAATGAGTGATCCAAGGCCCCGCATGTATTACTCCCAATGATATTGCTTTTTCCAAAATTAAATTTGCAATCGCTCTTTGCCCAGTGTCTTTTCCAACTCTCCATCTTGGAGACAAACAGTTCTCCTATGGTAATAACCAGGGGTGCACACAACTTTCTCAGTGAGGTACTCAGATGAGTACCTGGAGTCAGTGTTTGGTACTCCAACTTCTGGTGATTGTCAACGGGGGGGGTGGAGTACCGCGCTTCGCGATTGTCAACGGGGGCGGGGCGGGTGGAGTACAGCGCTTCGCGATTGTCAACGGGGGGGGGGGGTGGAGTGCAGCGCTTCGCGATTGTCAACGCGGGGGGGGGGGGGGGGGGTAGTGGAGTACAGCGCTTCGGTACGCAAATGCGCTTGTGACACAAGT